TCTGCCTCAGAGAGTTGTTTGTCGAGCTTGGTGTTGTAGCAAGATTGTTGTTAGCGAATTTGATGAGAATGTTCAACCAACTCGTATGAGTATGGAATAAGAACTCGGTTATTGTAAGTGAGTTTGGCTAAAATGAATCATTTGAAGATAAAAATATGGTAAACCCATTTTGAGGAACTCACTGGAATAGTGACGTATTTCGGAGTTACTCGTAGAATCTTTTGGGTCATTAAGGAGCTCTACAACTTATCACATTCAAATGTACGACTAATGAATACAATTGTTTTTGTCAGTGCCAAACTGCTAAATGCACAATTAGTGAGCTCTATCCATTAAGCCCCATGAGGCTCATTTAGCATTTAGACTTTCCTATTACTAAAAGCTCATTTTTAGTATACATATATTTTTTTCCTTTTATTATTATTATTATTATTATTTACACTTCTATATGTTAAGTGGAACTTATATACATATCACCCAATTCCTATGTGTTTACATTTCTAACATCTAAATTTTGTGTTTTATATTTATATCACCCAAATCTTTCATACCACATCTTTAAAATAAAAAAAAAATAGCACAATTTTAACTTTAAAAAAAATTAAATGCATATTTTCATTCATAGATAAAATGATATCTATATAAAATTTAAAATTTAGGTGTTAGATACGTAAATACGTAAGAATTGAGTGGTATGTATGTAAATCTTTCATACTTCTATCATTTCTCTCTCGTTGTTGCAAGCGAGTCCAAACATATCAACTTAAGTTTAAATTATATGTAGCAAGTATATCAAATTATTATTATTTTTTTTTATCATTTTCTTTTGAAGGATATTCATGATAGGCTATAGTTATGGAAACCTTTAATATGATACATAAGGATGAGACATGTTGATTTGAAGATGCTAAGAAGAGATGATAATAATGATAATGATGATCTATTTATAATGATTGATCAAATCAATCATGTTGACACTAAATATATATGTTTATTAATGCAAACACAAGCTCGCATGATGTTAAAGATGAAAGCGTTAATTCTTGAAGATTGTGATATGGGAACAACTGAGAGGGTCTTCATGATTGTCACGAGTCCCGAACACCCTAAAAGGCGAACACAAGGGTTTCGGGTTACTCCAACCATATATTTTCCACCCAGCATGACAATTACAAGTCAAAGCAACGATGGGTCTACTTGTGCTCAATTTGAAATATCAGAAGAGGGCTTGATCTCCTGGTGATCCAGGTGAGACAACTCATGTAACAAATACAGTTAAATTATCAACCACCTGAAGGATCACACTCAATATGTTATTACTTAAGAACATCAATATTTTATTTCATTTTAATCTCTTAACATTATCAATTGACCGCACACTTATTATTAACAAGGATGGAATGAACCTTTATCTGACTGATGAATTGAGGAGGACCTCACGCAACGATCACATATCTTTACTTTATGCACTTTACGTTAACACATTTTGGTTTATTTCATTGTAAATAGTTCGAGATTGAACTCTTTGAATGTTATATGTTTTGATGTTTATGAAATGTTAGTAACTAGTTCATAGATTTTATGTGGTTTTGTGCCCATTTTATATTTTTTCCAAGTAGTTGAAGCTTGAAGTGATGGATTGGTGTATATTTTGATGTTTAGGTGATATTAGCACTCTTTTATATATTTTATGTTTTTTTTTTAATTTGACTTTCATATTTTGGGCATTTACATGTATGCCACCCAATTCATATGTATTTACATATCTAATAAAAACTTCAATTTTTACACTTAATACTACCCTAATCTTTCATAATCATTACAAATAGCACTATTTTAACTTTCGACTAGTGAAATACATTTTTTCATGCATGCATTGGGAAGGTGGCATGCATGTAAAATTTGAGGGTTATGTACGTAAATCTTATTTAATATATATATATATATATTACTAACTTAAGTATGCATAATAAATATTAACTTAAGCTTGTTAATATTATTGTTTGTATTTTTTTCTAAAAATACTAGCTATAATCTCTCTCTCTCTCTCTCTCTCTCTCTCTATATATATATATATATATATATGTTATTCTAGTAAAACATCAATTTGTTATATAAAACAAATTGCTGTACGTAAATCTTAATCCCAATCGTTTAAATATTGATAATGGCTTAAGGTTAACGCTTGCACCTAAATCACTTAAAGCTTTCCCATAAAATATATCTCCTATTGCACATGGAATTGTAAAGCTACCAAGATCTTTAAGCTTTTCAGGAAGTTTTTTCTGAATAATTGTATTGCTCTCCTCACCAGGTGCAACAGTCTCATTATCTTCAAACTTTCTTTTTCTATTGAGAATATCCTTCAGAAGTCTCATTAATTTTAATTTTGAAATGAAGCTTTGACGAGAGTTTGTGTTCATGAAAACAAAAAAAGGGGCATTTACATGCATACCACCCAATTTTATGTATTTACATATATACAACCTAAATTTTGTATTTATAGTAACCAAATGTTTCATATAACACAAAAACATATCACTTTTTAAACTTTTTAAAAATAAAACATACATTTTATTTCTATACATAATTAATGTGGCATATATGTATTAGGCACGAACGACAACTTGAATTACACCATACCGTGTTGTCCGACTGTATGATTTGATCCACACTATCGAACGCGAAAAAATATTACATCAGTACTACGCACGTAGAGTAACGTGCGTAGCCAATAAAATCACGCGCGACAGTAAAAAAAAACGGCGCGGTAATACGGAGAATATTCTCCTCTGTGTTATTCATGTGTTATTGCATCTTATTCATGTGCTATTGTGTCCTGGGAATATTACTGGTGTTATAATAACACAATAACACATGAATAACACGGGGGAATATTCCCCTGTATTACCGTGCCGTTTTTTCTCTGTCGAGAATATTCCTCCGTGTTATTCTGGTGTTATTCATGTGTTATTGTGTCCTGAGAATATTCTTGGTATTATAATAACACAATAACACATTAGTAACACATGAATAACACATGGAGGAATATTCCTCCTGCTACGGTGCTATTTTTTTTCCTGTCGTTTGGGGTGTCGTGACTTGATTTCATTGGCTATGCACGTTACACTACGTGCGTAATACTGATGTAATATTTTTTCACCGAACGCATGTTCGATTTATCATGCATAATATTTTTACTAAGAAGTAATTAAGAAAATATTATTGTATAAGAATAGACAATTTTAAATACAAAATTCTTATATAGTTACATCTCTAATATTTAAATTTTTATATTTATATTGATAAACTTTGATATCATAAATCTATAAATAAAAATATCACTTTATTTTAAATTATAAATAATCGCACATATTAACTTCAAAGAAACCCAAAAAATTAAAAAAAAAATGCTTTGTTTGATTGAAAGCCAATCAAGGAGCTGAATGAGCTACATGGCCCGCCAACCCGTTATCCGCCCACTGACAAGAGCTAGAGGTTATCGCTGCTCTGTGAAGCCAGCCTAACGCTTTCTCCTCTAATTTAGAACACCACAACCCTGGGCCTTCATCCAAAGTCGGAGCATCACTGCTCATCTTGGGCAAGGCAGGTCAGAACAATGGGCCAAATGCAGCCCAACTCTATGATTGGATCAATCATCCAAAGCACCTTAATGCCTCCAACTCGGATTATAAGCTTGCGTTACCAAGCTCGGCGGAAGGGCGACCTTCAAAAAGGTTTATATAGTCTAAGATATTAATTTTCTTAACGATGTGGGATTAATTAAACGGCATCCACTTCCATGAAAATAACACATGTTTTAATTGCTCGTGGTTTTGAGAGTAAAAGATTGATGAGGTTTTAATTTTAGATTATATTTTATATGAAGCTGTTAGATTTTCACAGTAAACATATATAAGAAAATTAGAACCACATGAACAATTTAAATTAATAGTATACTTTTTCATATATTTATTATCGTACAAAATACTTAAAATGATTAATGTGACATACGATCATAGCCATCCATAAGCTTGATTTTGATTTGAAACAATAGATTGATTGGAGCAATTGGTCATGTTGGAGTACCGTGGCGCCATGCTTGCCACCTCAGAGCCACGGTGTTGTTTATGGGTGTCTTAGTGCGGGGTCTATCTAAAAAATTCTTTTCTAGTGGATGCGGAGTCGGTGCACCAACTTTGTGGCAACGCAACGATTGTGTGTCACCCTACCGATTAAGTTGGATTCGTCTCAACTGAGCATTTTGTTGGCTTATTATCCTTTTATAAATAAAAAAGAGCCTTGGGTTTTTACCCACGGGTCGTCGATAAGCCATGGGTTTTTACCCCGGGCCTTTTTTTAGCTTTTTGGCCATCTCTTTAGATTGGGTTCGATGGTTTCGAATGATCAAACCTTGATCTTTATAGATCGCCGACTCGGGGACTAACCCACTCGAACCATTGGTACTCCTTCCAACTAGGTGGCGGTTCTTCAGTATGACTGATCAGTCGAACTTATAACAAACTAATCATCACTAACTTGATCCTTTTAAGTTCGTTTCACGTCTTTTATTTTGTGTTTACCCATTTAGACCATCCGTTGTGGCGTTTAAGAAAATGCTAAGGTCCTACCACTACTTATGAGTAGATATATGCATATAAGGTTTTAGATCGTCAACACAAACTTTGCACTTATATGAGGATCAAAGGGACTGACATCTAGGCATTGCGCTGTCGGTGTCTTGCTGCCAACCTCTTTGCTTTAAAATCAGAGAGGCTACGCTACAATTGTGTCTTCATGACATTACATCGTCATTTTTTTTATATGAATTCTGCACTTGTTCGCATTTTTATATTTCACTAAATGTTTACATTTTTGAGTCATTCTACTTATCTTTTGTGTGTTATTTCACATTATGCTTTGTTGCATGTTTGTTATGTACTTATTTATGCATTTGTATGATATGTGATTTGTCATGAAGCTGGGTATCCTGAATCGTCTAAAATAACCAGTAGCAGAAATTCTAAGGGGCCTACTTGCATCCGTTTCTCAACGAACCTGTGATTATAGTTCTATTTCACGAAGCTGATTATTGGGGGTTAGGGTTTTTGTGCTTTCGCGTTCCTTCAATCCTGTTATCTGTAGGAACGCGCCCCGCCCCCGTCGGGTGAAGATTGTGGAATTCAATCCTTTTGATCTCTCGGCTAGAGTTCTTACCATTTCGTTTCCTGGGGATCCGATAGTTCTCAATCGCCTCGCCATTTTAGGTCAGAAGCTTAGATTTTTATTATCTTACAAAATCTATGTTTTTTCATTGCGGCCATTATACTCTTCTCAGTTCCTTGCTTTTGCGCGAATGCACTCAAATAAGTTCGCTTCCTTCTGCAATTCGAGAAGAAAAGATTCCGATTCTTTGTAGCAGCTCTTTAAGATGAAACGTCATGAATTTCGTTTCCAGACAATGAGTTAAAAGATTTTGTGCTGTCATTCTGTTTTGTGGATGTATAAGTTCTCATTTGTGACTACATGAGTTCGTTGCTTATACGATAATCTAATCGCTAAAGATATTGGTTGGTTATTTTTTTTTAGCAAGAGAAACGTTCATATAGTTTGGTATTGATGCCATCCTGGCCTGCGATTACAAACAAATTATATCAGTCAAATAGCATCTATCTGAAGACTGGATGGACTACTTTTGGAAGATTTAGCCACACTTGTTCTACTCCTTTGGTTATCAGTTATTGCCAATCTTAAGAGTATAAGTCTTGTACAGCACTGGACAAAGGGTTCAACGACTATTAGGTTCCTGACGATCATGGTGTCTTCTCTTAGTTCTTTATCCTGCAAGTTTGAACTGGGCGTGAGGGAGTTAGACAGTTCAAGAAGGATGATGATGAAATGCTGGTCCAAACCATCTGATTTTCATCAAGGTGAACTTTTGAGGCTAAGCACAAAATATGAGCTACCTTCTGGATTTTTGAGATTTCCTAGCAAGTTCTGTGAAATTGCAAGCATGCCTGCATTTAAGCCACAACTATTTGCTTGTGGAGCTGAGGTGGTACGCAGCTTATATCCGAGGAGTGGACAAAAGGATGTCTTAGTGATATCGACACTTATGAGTTACAACAGAAGTCCTCAATACTGTAAAAGAGTAAGTGGGTGCTTGAGAAATCGTGAATCCTGGGGTAAAAATATGTTTTACAAGTGTTTCTGGAATGATATGCAAGGTTCTGTGTGGAAAACCGGCCACCAGTTGGAGCCATGTATGAAGAATTTCTCATCAAGTTCCACACCATGTTCCACTGGAGCAGTTCCTAAAGCCTCATATGATGGTGTTTCACAGGAAGAGCAGATTGAAGAATCTGGAGCTTCCTCTGCTCAGTACACTTCTAAATCTTGCCTCTTGTTTTCCTTTATTTGCTAAATTAATCAGTTGTTCTGATCATAGATGGTTGTGTCAGCTGTACAAATTAGCCCATATATATATCGACTACTAGTCTATTTTTGGCAGGTAAAAAATAGTTATGAAATGTGTGACATTAGAACTTGTTGAAGTATATAAATTATGGAATTCTGATTGTGCTGGCAAAAGGAATATAAGTTTTTATTCCATAACAATGGAGTTAATAGAATTTGCTCTTAATGATGTTTTTTGTTATTGCATTTTTTTTTTGCATTTATTCTAGCACTTGACCTGTTTTAGTTCATGAAATTGGAAAAGTCATTCTCTTTCCCTGATCTATAGCACTGTAACTATTCGAGGGGTATTCACCACATAAATCCATTGTGCTTGTGTTAGATATTGCTTATCTCTTTGTTTATTAATACCTGCTTTTATATATTCATGTGGACTTCATACAAAGCTACATCAGCGTTGGGGTGGGCAAGGTGGTATTTCAATATTGAAGCAATGGCTGATGGAGATGGGCAGACTGGGTGTTGGAATGGAGGACAGTGGGTGCAGCATGAGAGGCTGAGGGGCCATAAGGAGGCGATGGAGTAATGGTGGTGGCTCCAATAAAGACAATTGGGTGGGACCCAAATAGGCAAATAACATGAATATAAGTCTATTATATGAGTCTATTAGTGCGGAAGGTTTGGAGGCATTTATCGAGTGAACTCAAAAAAGAAAAGTAAGAAGAGAAAAATCTTAAGTGTGTAATTTTATTTATTTATTTTATATGGAATGACTCTTTTGATGGGAGTTAACTAATTTTTGTATTTGACGACTGCCCAATTTTCTAAAATCAACTTATAGGGACCCTTGCTCTTATGCATGATTGCAAAAATATACTTATTACTACTATTAGATGTGCCATAAATAAGATACGATTGAACCAAACTATCCTCCATATCAATGTACCGTGTCCTCTTGATTGGTGAATGGCTTTTGGGTCCATTGTTTATTGAAACTTTTCACGAAGTCCTGTCTTTATGCCGAGCGGTATAGAGGACATTTAAACGGGTATTAATGGCATTTTAGAAAAGAAAAAAACTGTTTTTAATTTCTTCCATGTAGGGGTGTAAACGAGTCGAACACGAGCGAGCTCAGGCCCAGCTCATGTTCGGCTCGTTTATATTTCGAGCTCAAAAAGTGTGTTCGTGTTTGACTCGTTTGCTTAGCAAGTCGAACACGAGCTGTTCACGAACAAAGAGTCGTTTTGACAACCCTAATCACGTTTCATAAGATGTTAAGGGTTCGGGCAAGATTTAAAAATTATTGTTTATATAAATTTAATAATTTTTAAAATTTAATAATTTTTATTTTATTTTCTTCATTAATAATTTTAATTGATTATATATCTTTGTTGCCTTGTAGTCAATTAAATTTTTAAAAAATACTACTCATCAAATATATATATATAATTGATAAATAGTATTTCGAGTCAAAACGAGCCAACACGAACGAACAAATATTTGTTTGTGTTCGTGTTTGGCTCGTTAACTTAGCGAACGAGCCGAACACGAGCTTCTTAACGAGCTGAGCACAAGCTATTCGCGAACAAGAGCCGTTTTGACAACCCTACTTCCATGCACTTCACTCAAAGAACTTGGGGTCCCCTATGTCGATATAAAAAAAATTTGGACTGAACTTATTCTCTAAATATATGGCATTAAATGCAACTTACCCATTTTTCTATATTTTGCACAATGCAGGACCATGACTCTTTTGAGGGAGTTAACTAATTTTTGTATTTGGCAATTGCTCAATTGTCTAAGATCAACTTATAGGGACCCTTGTTCTTATGCATGATTGCAAAAATGCATTTATTACTACTATTAGATGTGCCATAAATTAGATATGATTGAACCAAACTATCCTCCATATCAATGTACCGCGTTCTCTTGATTAACCAATGGCTTTCGGTTTCATTTTTTATTGAAACTTATCATGAAGTCCTGTCTTTATGCCGGGTGTAGAGGTCACTTAAACTGGTATTAATGGCACATTTTAGGGAAAAAAACAACTGTTTTTAACTTCTTCCATGCTCTTCACTCAAAGAACATGGACCTCTATGTTGATATCAAAAAATTTTAGACTGAACTTCTACTCTAAATATATGGAACTAAACATAGAGGTCATTTAAACTGGTATTAATGGCACATTTTAGGGAAAAAAACAACTTTTTTAAACTACTTCCATGCACTTCACTCAAAGAACATGGGAATCTCTATGTTGGTATCAATAAATTTTAGACCGAACTTATTCTCTAAATATATGGAACTAAATGCAATTTACCCAATTATCTATATTTTGCACAATCTGCAAGATCAAAGAGTAGTTTTATTTTATTATTATTATTTTTTTATATAAAAAAGAAAGATCACGGGTAGATTTTGCATGATATGGCTAAATTGTATATTGCCCTTTTTTTGATATTATAGAGTGATTTGTCATGACATCAGTAAAATTTGCTCATTAGGCATTCTGTAAGTCATATAGGGAAGCTATATCACTAATTTCCTGTAGTGGAGTGGCTGAGTTATGGGGGAAAACTACTCCGACCTTGAACCATAACTATCAAATCATTTTTTTTCTTGTGATTTTGAAGCATTAGCTTTATTTTATCTGCTGTTCCATGTAACAAGAGCTGTTTTTTGATTGTGCCAGGAAGTCCTCTGGTGTTAGATCCCTGAAGCTGCTCTCGGGTTCATGTTATCTTCCTCATCCAGCAAAGGAGGAAACGGGCGGAGAAGATGCTCATTTTATATCCACTGAGCAAGCAATTGGTGTCGCTGATGGAGTTGGTGGTTGGGCAGATCTTGGTGTCAATGCAGGACATTATGCGAGAGAGCTGATGTCCCATTCAGTATCGGCAATTGGGGAAGAGCCCAAAGGTTCCATTGATCCGGCAAGGGTTTTGGAGAAAGCTTACTTGAACACGAAAGCTAGAGGGTCTTCAACTGCTTGTATTGTTGCCCTTACAAATCAGGTTTGTATTTATATATGTTATGTATACTGACTATCTTCTTTTATTTGTAGTCATTTTGCATGTTATTCAAATATCCTCTTTTGAAATACACATGCATATAAATATATGCCATCAAGTGATTCATTTAGTGCATAGAAATTTATATTGATAAGTGCTTGCTTTTTAAAAAATATAATGAGACTTTTATATGGAATTTTTAAATGTAAGTTATTTTTATACTTTACAGGATAAAGTAGAACTCAATCACTGTGACGTCCTCTGATTCTTTAGTTACCAATGATCTCGATGATGACTTTACTTTTGTAACTTAATCATCAATCAGTATTGTGTATGAAGGCAGAACTTATTCAGCAAGGAAGATGACAATTTGTGTTTTTTGACGAGATTGTAGGAAACCATTAGGTGCTAGAGTTAGTTATTTCAGGTTGGATTGCTTTTGCCTAATTACTATCTATCGTGTCATATAATGTGAAGAGCGGACTGAACTGTTTACTAGTAAGAAAGAGGAAGCCCTTGAGAAAGTTGAGAGACTGTATTGGTGTTATTTTGGGTTAGTGGGTTGGGTTAGATTTTGACCTGAAGTTGGTCCGTCCCAAATATACTTGACTCGAACATTACCTATTAATTATATGATTCTAAATATTTTATCCGAATTACTCAATCCATCTAACATATTTATTATATTAATCATGATTTTTTTAATATGACTCAATTAACTTGAATATGATTAGTTTAACTCAATTATTCCAGCCCGAACCCCTATAGCTCGATTCCAGAGAATAAATATATGGATTCTCAAGGATTTTTGAGTTTGCTCATATATATATATATATATATATATATATATAT